CTGTTTGGCACCTGTAACATAACATCTGGCCATATGTATTTATAATATTGACTTCAGCTTTGGCAGCCAGCTGGAAAACCAGATTTTAATCAGAAATGCTGGCCACAGAGGCATTTATATAAATATCAGACTATGCAGGTGTGTTGTTCAAGTAGCCATTAAAGGCTAGGAGAAAAGCTTCTTGTGGTGCCAGTCAGGTGAGAGACTATTTTGTGATGTGAAAGCTGTTGCTTAGACCTTATAGCTCTASAGCCAGGAAGTTGAACCGAGCCTATGTCTTCTATGCCTAAAGGTTAGGACCAGACTCTGTGTGCCTACCAGGAAGCTGTGGGTCGTGAGGGAGCTCCTTAGAAATGGGGCTGTTGCTAGATAAGATGGTACCAAAGTGCTCCCAGGGAAAATGGTCCCCAGGTGTTGTTGTCTTCTTCCAAAACATAGAGATAGTAAAAGGACTTGGCAGCTTTTTGAGCATATTCCTCTATGGCTCTCATTTTCCCCAGCATTAATGTTTTAAAGAGATGCAGCAAAGGGGCAGAGTGTTGGCTGTTACCTCTGTGACTATCTCTTTCTCCCACAAAGAGAGGCTTTTCTTTATCTCTGGGTTGCAGCAAAGGCGACCAAAACATAAACTCYCACTCGAGCATGTTAGTGTTCAGACAATTATTTTTTTGCCTTTAGAYAGGATTGTTCAGGCCTTAGCTGAGCACTCGAGCACATCTAGYGACGGAAGTGTCTAAGTCATTTCCTGCAGAGCAAAGGTTATTTCTGCCTTTGAATCATCTGCTGAACTGGGGCATTTGTGCAGTTCTAGCCTTAAAAAAGAAAGAAAAAAAGTCTTAACAGAAAGGCACCCTGTCGAATTTTGCTAACGTCGATGCCTCCTCCCAGTTCTGCTGGCAGCCCCAGCAGGGTCGGTGCTCGCGGTGCTGGCACAAGCTGCACGCGGTGTCACCAGCTCTTGCTCTCACCGCTGGACGCGTCTGCCTGGAGCACAGAAGCAGAACCTGAGCAGGGTGGGTTTTGTCAGGGCTTTTCTTGGTGTTCAGAGGCCAAACTGCCGTTAGGGACCTTTGCTCTTAGGAGTAGTGGGAGGCRGCTGCCACGGTGGCTGTGACTGCTGTGTTTTTTTAAGTGTGTTTCTAAGCAGTAAGGAGGGAAATGGCAACATACCAAGCACTCTGGCCTGAGAGAGTTACAAGTTTAATATAAGCAAAGATCTGAGTGGTGAGAGCGGGCCCTGGAGAAGTGAAAATTCCCCGTGAACCACTTAGGGCGTTAGATAGTTCAGCTGTTGAATATGCAGAGGTGAGATAGCCTTGGCAGTGGCGTTTTCAGATTAAGCACTCATATATAAGGTGTCTGCGAGTCCTCAGATAGGTGTGAGTGTAAAGTGCTAGTCATTTGAAGTAGCATATTTAAAAAGACCAGTTTGGGAGCACTTCAGGAAAGCCTCCCACGTCACTGTTCTGCTACTGTGGATGAAATTAATGGCAAAATATTTTGATTTCTGATGTGAGTCACTTATTCATACCTGTGRGAACCAGTCCTTGAAAACTGCAGGGAGGAGCATAAAGCTGGTTGAAATAAGCCCTATGAATATACAGCAAAGGCAGGTACCTTCCCTCATCTTGTAACAGCTCCAAGAGGGCATTTATGTCATAAGTAGGGTRTTTATTCTCAAGTTCTCTCCTTTTGTTTTGCCCCTTTGTGAAGCATTGCCCCTTAGGAGCACTTTTGCCTCCACTTTTGTGGAGTTTGCTCCTTAGGAGCATTGCACAAAATGCAGGTAAAGCTCGCTTGCCTCAGGCTTGCCTCTGTAGCACTTTCGAGATTAAGGGCTCAAGTCCTGCTGCGCTGCCCTGGGAAGGAAATGCACAGGGTGCATTTTCCTGTGTGACCCAACCCATCAGGCAAACTCCCTGAACTGTTTTTTCAACTGAAAATTTGTATTTTACTGCAAAATTTCCCTGGAATACTTTGCTGCGGAGCGCGTTTTGCTGCCGAGTAACCACCTCACCCATGAAGGAACGGGGAAGCAGCAGAAGGGTGAAGAGTCACCGAGAGATGCGTGGGTGTAACTGAGCCTCCTCGCTGGGTTTCCCTTCCTGACGGCTCTTGGGYGCCGTGCAGGGCTCCGCACTGCCGGATGGGAGCGCTGGAGCTGCGGTGCCCAGGCCGGAGAGGTTGTTGCAGATGGCAGCGATGCGCTTTGATCATGTCTGAGCGGGAAGGAAGCTCGTCCAGGATCTTCTCACCAGCCCCATTTCTTTTATTTGGCCAATTAGGAGAGGAAAAGGAGGGAGGGAAATGCTCCTGGATGCTCTTTGTTGCCCTACTGTGTGTGATCTTGCAATACGAGGGGCATTGAGGTTCAGCAGCCTTGAAAATGCCACTGAAATCTTCCTGTCAAAGCCTTAGGCGAGGTCACGCATCTCAAGAAAAAGACACAGGCAGGCAAGGCAGCCGACAGCCAGGATTGGCATCACATACAGATGACTGTAACTGTTGTCCTGCYGTAACGTTTTGAAATAAGGAGGAACTGAGAACCTCCTTATTTCCTTGTATATGAACCTGTGTTCACATAGTCATYGGGACCGGCCTCTTGGTGCGTGAGAGGTGCCCTTGCAACGCCAAGGGAAGAGACGCGAGCGCTGCTGCTGCAGCTGTAGCTGCATGCACGAGCCCAGGTTCTYCAATGCCTATGGAGCGTCTGTCCCTCCCTGGGTGAGCGCCGTAGGAACCGGCAAAACCTCAATGAGCTCCAAGACCTGGCTCGTTGCCATGGCAGCAAGTTGCCGAGGGACGGGCTTCATTCCTGGGCTCAAAGGATCTGGCTTCTCCCACATCCGGCCCCACTGGGGGGTCAGAACTTGTTCTTTGGATATGAAATCAGGCCAGCTTTTCAAAGGAGAAGGGAACAGCTCGATGTTTGACATCCTGGGTGTCTTTTGAGAGATGTTTGCTGTTGATGGTAGTGGAAGAAGCTGCTCAGCTCCTCGCTCCTTCTCTCCCTGGTTGGGGGCCGACACCTAGGCCGAGGTAGCGGTTCTTTCACAGCAACTGTGAAGGCTTCAGAAGGGTTTTCTGCCGCGTGGCTCCCAATGTCAGCTCCACTAAAGGCAGCAAGCAAATATGAAGAGCTAAAGACTCCAGTAACCTTGGACATTTCTGAATGTAAGATAAGCCCCAATCAGCTGTTCTGCAGCTGGGCTGCGTCTGTGTTTCAGCTGACCTGGACCTCATTCACACTTGAGCCATTTAAGAATTTAAATTTATGGAATTACAGCTGCAGAATTCAGGAGAGCAGGTCCTGGGTTGCTGATGGATCTGCTTGGTAGGATCCCATGGGAGACTGCCCTGGAGGTTCCTCTTTAGCTCCTCAAAGCTCAAACGTGGAAAGAAGGCCCACAGAGACAGAAGCTGGGAGGACTTCCCTGGGAAGAATATAGGGATGTTTCCCAAGCTTGCAGGGATGCAGCTGGAAAAGCCAAAGCTCAGACAAAAGTAGGACATGAAGGGCAACAGGAGGACTTCTGTGGATACATTGGCAACAAAGGGGAGGCTGAGGGAAATGTGGGCCTGGGGTGAAGTTGCGGCCCAGCTGGAGGATCTGCAGCCGTGAAGGGGGGCTGAGGGAGCTGTTTTGTTCTGCTTCTGAAGGGAGGATTTTGCTCTCTGCATTGTCTAGAGAAGCTGATCCCAGACCTGGAGATGCTCAGAAAGACACTTTCACTATGAAGGTGGTCAAACACGGCAGAAAGGATCTTGAGAAGCTCTTGGATTTCCACCATGGACACAGCCAGAACGTGTGGCTGGGTCCTCAGCAGCCCAATTGGGTTGACAYCTCATTTGAGTGGGGTTTAGGTCACACAACCTCCTTCCAACCTAGGTTATCCTGTAATTCTGCATTGTTTTGGCTGTAGAGAAAAATGGATGTAAATGAGAATCCACCCCTGAATTGTGCTTGCAGATGTAATTCTCAACAGCTCACGTGGTGGCGACCTTGCTGTCCTCTTTTCTCCTCTCCGAGAGCCCACACGTCTCTTGTCCCTGGTGAGCGGTGTCGTGATGTTGTACCACAAATATTTGATAATGACTCGTCGCTGTAATCCCTCTGGAGATCTCTTCCAACATCACTCCTTTCTTCTCTCATATTAAACAACTCACTGAGTGTTTTACTCTTGTACAATCTGGCAAGTACAAAGTAAGCCGAATTCAGCAGTGACAGGAATATATATGTAGTAAAGAAAATTTAGACATGGTATGTGGTTGGGTAAGGGCTTTTTTTGTTATTATTATTTTCTTTTTCACCAGCTGATGTAGTTTCTTAACAGCTCTCAAGCTCTAGCGCCGTGAGAACTGTTATAGCTGTGTTGCGGGCACCCTGATCCCGTGAGCYGCGCTTACATTGAGCATGGAAATGCCAAGCAAGCATCCTGGCCAAACTGTGAGTGGAGAGTTTCATCCTGGCGCTATGGAGTTTGACAGCTGTTACAAAAGGGGAGGAAAAACTTCCTGACCCCAAGTGTCCTGGCTGTGCCGCTATGTGGTGTTAATGCCCRTGGATGAGCCCGGAGGAGCCGGTGCTGCGGCTGCGCAGGAGGTGAACCGAGTTTGTGTAAAACTTWGCGGGGTTTGCAGAACCCAGCTTGGCTTCTTTCCAGCTGGAAGCTGTGGTATARATAGAAGGATGTCTCACTTTTGACGTCTGCCTTCCTTTTGTAGAAAGGAAGATGTCTGTGCTAGAGCTGGGGTTTAATAACTGCTAAATACCACTCTGAAGGCCAGTCGTCTGACCTGCTGAAACACTTGAACAGCATTTCAATGGGATGTGAGCGGGTTCAGTTCCTTGTAGCATCACATCTGTCAGCTCCTTGCTGACAGCTGAACTGAGTAAAAGTGGGGTTAAGGGCTAGTGCAGCCTCCCAAAGGGCTAGTGCAGCTTCCCGTGTTCCCCCTCTCAAAAAGTCTTTTTTTTTCTTTTTCATTCCATTGGTCAGATTAACAAGATGTTTGGGACCGTCGTGGTTGGACTTGGAATTGCTGGCTTAGCACGGATCCGAGATTTGATGAATCCGATGCCTTCCAGCCCTTCTGAGCAGCTGAAACTCTTTGGATTTGTATCCAGGTTAGAAATTTTATCTGAGCTTGTTTAATATTTGTAAATATGTGTTGCAATGTCTCTTTTTCCCTATGCACTTGCCTTTGTAATAGAGAGGATTATTATTTGAGGGGGAAGAGAGGACATAAATACCCAATGTTTTATAATTCTCTTGCACTCACAGCACTCTGACAAGGGAAAGTTTATGTGCATATGCATGTTGTTCTGAGTATCAGCTGGGAAATGAGCACAGRAAAACTTTGTAAGAGGAGCAAATAGGCTGCCTTAATGAGACACTGTGCAGATTTTACTCTATTTACAGTAAAAGCTAAGAGCCCTTCTCACTGCTGGATATGTGTGATTAAAAAGAAAYGTGATTCTGACTGAAATTCACTGCAGGTTCAGGATGGTACAAACTTATGACAGGAACACCAGTGAGCTAATATCTCTGTGAAATGTGTAGAGTAAGTTTGCAGGAATGTTTAAAGTGTTACAAAAAGAAAAGTTGAAATATATATTTTTATAGAKCTCCTGACACTGTGAAATAAAATTCTATTTATTTTTTTAAAACCAGATATTGAAACTGTAGGTTTTTTTGAAAGTAAATCCCAATAATTTAGTACCTACAGTAAAGTGCCTTTTGGAGAGCAGTGCTGCTGTTTCTCTGACTAGCTCAAAGCAGGGACGGGTTAGCAGGACTGTGTTGCACAGACACCTTCCCCGGAGCATTCCTGCTAGACCGCCTGCTCCATGACAGCAAAGCAGGAAGGTTTTAAATAGTTAGGTGGTGCTAGCATGAATCTCAGGCTGCGAATATATTTTTTTCCAGCTATATTTAAATCATGCAGTCAGAGCTGTTGGAGACAGAAAGGATCCATTAGGTCATTCCCTTTATTGCCCTGCCAAGCAGGGCTGCGGCTAGCACTGAACGACTTTAATGACAGGGTTTCCACTACTTCTGTGGGGAAAAACATGGAAAGASAGTTCAGAGACAGTTTTCCTCCCTTGCTGGAAATGCTGCACTCCTCTTTGCAGCCTAGTCACAGGCAGGCATTACCTGTCTTTGCTGTCAGGTCCCGCTTGTGGGCTGTGCTCATCCTCCGTGTCCCGTACCCCAACATTACCAGGGTGTCCGCTGCAGTCTTTGCCAGAGCAGCAGCCTTTTGGGGGGATGTGCTCCTGGCGGTGGCCAGAGCTCCCTCCTGGAGCACTGGCTGATGTGCTGTGCACGTAGCATCAGTTTAAAACCGTTCTTGTGTCATGATGCTTATTTACCCAGAATTCACAGAATCACAGAATTGTTGAGGTTGGAAGGGACCTGTAGAGATCATCTAGTCCAACGCCCCTGCACAATTAAATAAAAAATATATAAAAAAAAAAGAGATTCACAGTTTCTATAGTGATACCATCATCTATATATTGACTCTCATATATATAATATATATAATTATATATATGCGTCTCTATATATTTTTATATATTTTATATACATATAATATATACAGAATACAACATATAGTATATAATATATAAGGGTATATATTAAATATATTAAAATATGTAGAGACCCTTATATATTATATACTATATGTTATATACTGTATGTATTATGTAAAAATATAAGATATATAAAATATATAAGATATATAAAATATATAAAATATATAAAATATATAAAATATATAAAATAAAAAATATATGATATATATAATATATATTATATTTTTAATATATAATTATATATATAACATTTCCGTTTATTTATTAATTAATTTATTTATTTTTGTGCACTCTACTGCTCTCTGAAAGTGCCTATCTCTTTCCTGGCCACAAACTTCCTTTTCTACCCGTGTGTTACTTACTGGGACTGTGAGCATGGGAACAATTTCAAGTGTTTCTGCACAGCATGTAATGGGGAAGAATGGACTGTAATGATATGCCCTGAATGTGTTTTTGTGTTTATTTTGTGCTTATTGTGTTAATAACCAGGAGAAATCTGGGCAAAATTAATGAGGCCAAACAGATTAGCTTGGAAGATGCTCTGAGAAGCAAAGATATCCATGTAGCCTTCATTAGCACGGAGAACATAAGTCATGAAGAAACCATCAGGTATTTGGGTTTGTTTGTTTGTTTGTTTGTTTCCCTAAAAACATAGGGATAGTGCCTTCCCTAGAGCACGGCGTGGTTGAGATTAAGATGCATTCAGGTTTCATAATTTCTGTCAGCTATCTCTAGGCCTCTGCATGGTATACAGGCAGTTTAAAGCAGAATTCAAAGCCTTTCCTCACACATCAGATGGAGGAAGGATTCAGTTTTCCTCTTTGATGTCTGGAAGTCAGAGTTTGCAGTGTTCAATACTGCAGCATTTTAGTGATTTGCTGCAAATGAGTGAGGCCWGTGGTGAAAGCAGAAATAAAACTGAGCTCTCCTGGTGCTTGCAAAATGTGATGTAGCCACAGCACCATCCTGCTAGGAAAGGTGGCTTTTACTTCTGTTACTCCGTGTTGTGCATTTCTCCATCGAGGGCTGACTGCAGAAGTGAGAAGCAGTAAGCACAGTGGCCAGAAATAGTCTCCATATAGTTTTTAAACATTAAAACAGATACAGTTCTTCAAGATTGCTGTTGTATTTTTCAGAACRTTTTTAGAAGCTGGGAAGCATGTCCTCGTTGAGTACCCCATGGCTTTGTCTGCCAAGGCAGCCCATGAGCTCTGGGAAATGGCTGAGCAAAAAGGTAATGACATTTTTCTTGAGGATGTAAACAGTTCTTAAACACTGGGTGGCACCACGGGCATCTGACAGGGAGCAGGGCCCAACGCATGGTGCTGCCCAAGGAAGCGTGCCTGTCTCAGAGAGCAGCCGAGCTAGGATTTAAGATGTGTGCCGATGGGGAAGCAAATGCACAAATGTTGAGCKAAGAGGAAGGTATGTTTATCTACACCGGTGCTCTGATCCCAGAGTTTGGGCACTAAGAATTTGGTTAAGAGAAGGAAAGTTCTGTTATCATGATATTAAAGCACTTCAGGAGTGTAGCTCTTGCACTTGTGCATTGATAATAAACCTGGAAGCAGCCCCCTTAGCTTCTGGTGTTTGTGGCATATGCTTGTCCTGCACAGTTGTTGCTGCTATTATGAAAAAGAAAGCTTGCAAGAAAGCTTGTTTCTAAGCAAGATCTCTCTGTTTCTGGAAAGCACATGGTCCCATCGCAGCAGCACCGAGGGTGAAAGGCTGGCAATTCAGTTGAGGCCAGTCAGTGGAATTTTATGGAGCTGTACGGAAAGAAAAGGTGCTAGACAGGAGGAGAGCGCAAACCGTTTGGACAAGCTGCACTATTTATACCAGTCTTTTAAAAAAATTTCCTTTGTGACTTTGCCCTACAGCACTGGAGGTATAGAATTTCCAGCTTTGCCTTTTCCCTGTATCAACACCAATTACTGGCCTGTTCCTAGCCAAATGGCTTCCCATTAAGAAGAATTTATGCCTCCTTTCTCAAAGCTGCAGCAGTTACTGTCAGCAACTAAATTGACTGTCTTGGAGACTGTCCAGAAAAGCATGTCTTGAATGAGGGCCACATTCAGATGAGCATTGGCTAGCCTTTCCTGCAAAGTGGCCCAATTAATTGCAACTCCTTAACATACTGTTACAATCTGGGTCTAAGCTTTGTGCTGTGTTTTTTCTTCTTAATCTGCTTTCCTAATACCCCAGGAGGAAGAGTGTAGAACAAAGAAGTATGAAGGGAAGGAGGCCAAGAACTAACCCTTTACTTTGAAGACTAATGCTTCAGCTTTAGTTGGGTATTTGGTTTCGTTGCAGAGTTTAGCTTAATCACACAGTGGTTAATGTTATTATAGACTCTGCTTCCTGAGACTCGTGAACCCAAAACTGATGCCTCAGCACCGAGCCCGAGTTTGATTTTTCTCCTGACATCATCTTGCCAGTCATGAATGAGGATGCTTTTAAGTGATCTCCCTCTGGTGTTTGTTGAAGCTTTCACTACTCTTTGATTCACGGAGAAAGCTCTTATTTAATCTGGCCTGGTTTTTGCTTTTCTTAACAACAGATAAAGTCCTCCATGTGGAGCACATTGAACTGCTGACTGAAGAGTACAAGCAGCTGAAAAAGGAGGTGGCTGGGAAAGACCTGGTGAAGGGAACGTTACATTTTACAGGTCAGTACCAATGAGGAGACCTAAGTTTACTTGGTTTCATCCGCCCTCTTGGCAGAGGTGCCAGCCCTCCTCGGCTTTGCTCATTCATTTAAATGAGAGCCCACTGATAAGTGGACTAGAGATAACCATGTGCTGGATGCTGCCATGAAATTACAGAACTATCTGAAAAACACTTTTCCCTTAACAACTGCCCATTACTTTGTTCATCTTCGTGCTACTTCTGATGAAGAAAGCCCAYGTGTACCTTGTTGAGTGGGACGGAGAGTGCTCCTCCATCTCTGCTGCACTGTGATAATAGAGACCAGCCCCCTTCATTCATGCAGAGCAAGACAAGCCCTGAGCAAGTGCCCCAGTTTCCAGTGGAGGTCTTCACTCTCGTGTCCAGGCCTACACCACTTCAGCCTTTCCTGCACAGGGCCATATTCTCTTTCCCATTTCTCAAGTGTTTGTGTTGCTGTTGCACCAGGCAGTGTCCTCGATGAAAAGCAAGCAGGATTCCCAGCTTTCAGTGGAATTGCCCGGCTGACTTGGCTGGTGGACCTTTTTGGAGACCTCACTGTTACCTCAGCTACCCGAGAAGAGCAGAAGGAGAAGAATTATTCCAAAATGACAGCCCATTTTCAGACTGCAAACAAGAAGTGAGTAACAGTCAGGCTGGTACWGTATCTTCTGCAGGAATTTTGCATCTTCTCTTCCTTCCATGAAAATAACAYAGACTTGTAATGCTTGTACTAGTGTCAGCTCAAGGTTGGGGGGGAATGACACATATTGGACAGAAGTATAATGAACTGAACTAAGTATAATGAAGGGCCGAGGTGATAAATTCACTTCTGACTAGTGCTTAAGTCTGCAGTCCTGAAGTGCCCTTGGATTTTCCAGASCAGGGCATTAGTTTCTTTCTAATTTCTTGTCTTTTTGTTACACTAGCCTCATGCTGCAAAATGAAGAATTTAACAGTCAGGAATTACATGTCTATTTGTTCAGTCATTACACTGTGACTTTCTGATTTGCATTTTATAATAATGAGGTTAATCTGCCCTTTATTATATGATAACAATAGCCTTGCTATAAACTAATTTATTTTTAAGTGCTTTCTGAGCATGAGGTAATTCATTAGCTGGTGTCCCATACTGGATCCTGAGCACTCAGCTTGATTCTATATCTGGTGGTGTATTTTGCTGGAAATCCTCGGTTTTGGTCCTTGTGGGTCATTCACATGCAGGTCATGCCTTTTCAGATAGGTTAAAGCCACCTATAGCCACAGCCTSCTGAAAAAAGAAATAATAATCACCTGTAGCACGAGATATTTGGGGAGTGGAGACTCAGGGCTCATTTGGACTGCTAGCTTCACTAGAGCTGAAGCACAGATCAGGCAGCTCCTGCAAAGCCCATTGCAGCTTGTCAGGCCTGTGCTCTTTAAACCTTTGCTTCTCTCTCTATGAAACATTGATGCTCTTAGCAATGTGCTGGGAAACTGTAATGAACTGTTAGCGAGTGAGCTTTGCATTAACTCCAGCAGGTGGAACTAGCGGGTGGCTCGGCGTGTCCTGTCTCCGCTCASTCCTCAGCGGCTGTGGGTGGTATCCCTTAGATGTAGCATGGTTTCTGAAATCTCTGTATATTTTTCTTGCTCTCTGCAGCTAGCAGAGGGCTGCCTTCCTTCGCCCACTGATCCCTATTTGTGTGGGTCAGTGTTTTGCTATCGTTAGCATTCCAGGATCGTAGAATCATAGAATGCTTAAGGTTGGAAGGGACCTCTAGAGAYCATCTAGTCCAACCCCTCCTGCACACACAGGGTCACCTAGAGCACGTGGCACAGGGATGCATCCAGGCGAGTTTTGAAGATCTCCGAAGAAGGAGACTCCACAACCTCCCTGGGCAGCCTGTTCCACGGCTTAGGCACCCTCACTGTCAAGAAGTGTTTCTTTAAGTTCCTGCAGAACTTTTGGTGCCTCAGTTTGTGGCCGTTTCCTCTAGTTCTATCGCTGGCCACCACTGCAAAGAGGCCAGCCCCCTCCTCCTCACTGCCTTCCTTGAGGTATTTATACACGCTGATCAGGTCCCCCCTCAGCCTCCTCTTCTCCAGGCTGAACAGGCCCAGCTCTCTCAGCATTTGCTCACAGGGCAGGTGTTCCAGGCCCCTGATCATCCTGGTAGCCCTGCGCTGGACTCTCTCCAGCAGCTCCACATCCCTCTTGTACTGGGGAGCCCAGAACTGGACACAGGACTCCAGATGTGGCCTCACCAGGGCTGAGTAGAGGGGGATGATCACTTCCCTCGACCTGCTGGAGACGCTCTTCTTAATGCACCCCAGGATCCCGTTGGCCTTCTTGGCCACCAGGGCACACTGCTGCCTCATGGTCAACTTGTCGTCCACCAGGATGCCGAGGTCCCTCTCTGCGGGGCTGCTCTCCAGCAGGTCCACCCCTAATCTGTCCTGGTGTCCAGGGTTATTGCTCTCTAAGTGCAGGACCCTGCACTTGCCCTTGTTGAACTCCATGAGGTTTCTCACCGCCCAGTTGTCCAGTCTGTCCAGGTCACCAGGGTCCCCGGTGCTGCCTGTTTTATGCCCCTGGGCTCGGTTACACGGCTGGCAAGTTACCCCGTGTTCTGGGGGGCTGCCCGCTCGCCCGACCGGCCTCCTGCTGACCTTCCTGCCTTGACGTCCAGGGAGTGAGAACACCGGAGAATTCGGTCCCCCTCTCCAGCAGCTTGATTCGTCTGACTTGTACTCTTGCTGCAGCTTCCCTGAGAGGTGTCCCATCCTTTTTGGAAAAGCTGGAGCACCTAGCCTTGGATTTGTCCCCGTGCTGGCTGCTGCTRTGTCTCGGGGTGAGCTTTGGAGGGGAGTGCTAGCTTGTAACGCGCAGCGCTCCGAGAGGTCACCTCTGTCGCTGTTACGTTTCCAAAACAGTCGAGCTGACGGCCCCTCTGTGCTAAACATGGAGCAAGCCTGGAAAAAGGGAAACCTCTGATGACAGCACAGCTGGGCTGGGACCGCAGTTCCTATCCCTGTGTTGCTGAGCCTGGATTCAGCAAATGTCAAAAAGGAATTTTTAGCGCAAGCTGGAGCGAGAGTGCTTTGTGCGGCCTCTGTTTCGGTGTTGTCTGGGGGTAAGGTCTAGCTCTCCTCCAAATGCAAAGTAAATAAAAATTATTGATATCTTTGAATCATTAAAGGGGAGATATTTGAAAGAAATTGGACACATTTTCTGAATACATATTCTGATGAAACTGATATCTCTTGATAAACGTTTGAAATGATATTTTGTCAAGATCTAAGCTTGCAAAAATCTGATGAAATGGCTTCAAACTCAGCATCAAAAAAATCGTGTAGTGCATGCTTTCTGCAGAAGCTGGTATATAAAATGCTGATTGAGTGACCCCAGGATGCTTTCACGCATGAAACCAGCTTAATCTCTTCTACAAGGGCAAAAAGAGGATTTTCATCCTTCTGATTTATTCAGCCAGTGCAGTCCAGCCACTGGGGCCACTGATCATCAGAGGAAACTGGGAAGCAGAAAAGCAGAAAGTCTCCTCTTCTGGACTGTGAATAGAATTTAGCCACAAGAGCTCTGCTAGTCTAATATCTGGAAAGGTGCAGTGACCATAAACAGTCAGTGTAGTTTCTTTCCTGCAGAAAGTGCTTCCTTTGTAAATAGCGTGAAAGGGAAACACATTTGTAAACTTTATTTTCCTTTAACTGAGAAGCATAATTAACATGGCTTTATTTATTTGTCAAAATTTTGGGGGTTGTTGCTTCTAGATAATATTCCTAACACTTATAAACTAAGGAATAATATATAATACATATAAATACATTTTAAAATAATAAATATAAATAATAGTCTTAACACTTATAAATAAATCCATAGCTAATAATAATACTTAAGATAATACTTTGATACAATTCTCATAATGGATAATCATTTTTAAAAAGTAGACCTTCTCACATTTCTGACATAAAATGCAAACTTGTTTTTTTAGCTACATAACTGCTTAAATAATGAGCACAGTTACCACAATCTTTACAGCAAGAAAGGGACAGAACTTACTGTAGCAGTTGGAATTATTTGTGAATTAACGTGTTTTGGTTACCGGTTAAATAGAATACATATGCCTTTGGTTAAAGAACTAAAAGTGCAATTGCAGAAGATGATAAGTCTATGAGTGAAACCAAGATTTCCTGATCTAAATCAGTCATTTTAATCACTTAGATTAAACCCTGCTTGCTCTGCCTAGTTGTGCTTGTGGTTCAGCAGCTCTCCCGAGCTGGAGCAGGAGGAGGCGTTAGCTTGAGTCCCATCGCTGACGTGCATGTGCTCCAGATAGCCCTGGAGAGGTGGCCCTGTGCTGGCACTGCCCCTTTTGGACCACGTCGTGTCTCGGACTCCGTGCATTTATATGGCAGGAGGGCTTTCTTGTGCTGGCCCTGCGGTTTCCTTGCACATACCTGAGATAAAGCAGCCCCCAGCAGCAGTGACCTGAACCTCTCTGGCATAAGGACATAAAAACAGTTGTGATGAGCAGGAGGAAAATGCTGCTAGCTCAGATCCCTGTCTTGGACCATGGTCCACGTCAGGCAACATGGATGGAAGAGATGGGACCATGAGAAGCTCTCAGTGCTGTGTTCCCCAAACAGCCTTCTGGCTGGCCGTGGCACGTTGCCTTGGGACCTCCTGTCCTTGCATTTAACAGTCCTGTGTGGATTTTCCATCTGATTTTTTTTTGCAGGCTATGACATGAGTGATTTTTTTCTGTAGTTTAATTGTGTTCAGCCAGGTCCATCTGGGCTAAGCTTAATTTGCAGTATCTGTGCATGGCAGTAGGGGTGAATAACAGATAATTTATATTGCAGAGTGAACGTAGCAACTGGCTCCTATGTGGGAGCGGGGTGCAGAGGCCTGAGGCCGAGCGCTCCGCAGGATGCGCTTGGCGTAGGCCGGCGAGGACTTCTTTCCAGGGCTAATGATCTTGAAGATTTAGTGGGCTGCACTTGGAGACAGATTTATTCTCTCTTGCTATCTTGCCCTTGTAATTTGTGAGTGGCAGACTAAAGTGGGCTGTAAAGGACTGTGGAAGGGCTATCAATAACCGAGGGAGAAAAATAGTCTGTATCTTCTAAACAGAAGCAATAATGAGTGCTGATTAATGGGCTGCAGAAAGTTAATGGTAGGGTTTAGGCAGCTGAAGGAAGAGCAGGARGAGAGAGGTTGTCTGTGTCTGCGCTGAGGATCGTTTAGCAAGAGTTTGCTGCCTTGGGCCATGATGTGGGCTTTGGTAAGAGCTTCAGTAGCCAGTGGCATCGGCACCTGGCTTAGAGGTGGTGGCTACCACTGCAGCTCATCACATACTGTAAGACAAGACGTTGCTGTAATTAAGAAAGACCTTTCTGATTCTTTCCTTCACCTGCAGGCAAACATTTAGAACTAGAACTTTTTTTTTTTTTAATTTCCTCATRAATGCTCTTTTCTTTTCTCTTTGCTCCTCCACATTAGACCTCTGACTTGGATTGAAGAAAGAGGACCAGGGATGAGACGTGAGAAGAAAATCAACTTCTGTTTCACAAGTGGCTGCCTGGAGGACCTCCCACAAGCCCCAAGGTCTGCTGTGGGCCTTTTCATGCAGGATCAGAACCTCTTTGCCAAAAAACTGCTGGGCCAGGTATCCAAGGAGGAGCTGGCCGCTGAGAAGTGGCGAATTTTGCGTTGTCTCGACCTTGCAGAGGAGATCCAGCAGCACTGCGAGCGCACGGAGAGAATAGGTTCTTGAGGCCACTCTCGGGGAAACAGGCATGTGGCAGCATGAAGGGTGTAGGGCCTGAGCTCCTCATGCAGTTGCTATTTCTGTTTTGTTACCTACCCTCTGACTAGTTGTGACTCCTGTGCCCTCTGGGTGGGCTGGAGAGCCTGGGCCTTACCCAGTGCCTTGTGGTGTGCGCCAGAACTAGACAACATGCTGCCCTGTTCTGCCCTGCCAGGCATATAGGAACCAGCAGCAGCAGCTTTTCATATGGTTGCTCCCAATAAATTCAATAGGAAGTGTCCCTAAGAGCAGAATCTGGAATATGGCAAATATTAGACATAATTTCCTCCATTTTTTTCCCTCTTCTGTTTAGATATGTCTGAAAATAAGCTACATGTGGCATCATCTAGAATGAAACAGAGCATTGCTTTATCAGGGTCTGATCCACTTTGCTTGGTCTGCAGAACTTGAGCCATCCTGACTTATCGTTCTGGATGCCGTGAACTGGTCTGGGTGTTCGCTCTAATTAGTATTTGTGCCTTTGTTTTATATTGGAAATCAGCCAGCTTCACACAGAATCTGCAGTGATATCAACCCAAAATAAAAGAAATATTTTGTCTCTTAGTAGATACTATCTTGAATTCACTTACTTAGTTTCTCTGGTACACTGTACCAACATAGAAATCCATTTTTTATCCAGCAGTCAGAAATTAGTGCAGTACATCAATGCATCATCTGCCTGCCTTCTGCTGTATTTCATTGTAGTGGACCCAAATATTTTTTCTTGCACTGAAAGCAGGATATAATTGTTCTCATTTGTGTTCTGTATCTGATTCAGCACATGAACAGATCACTCTTTAAAAATCCTATATATACTTAAAAATGAGAAATATTACGCTCTGGTAAACACTGAAATTCAGTGGAAATAGTGATAAAAATAGAATCAAACTTTAGGAACTGGAGCAATTTGCAAATGTAGCCGTGCAGTCATGAAGTATCACACCATGGATGGATGTTGGGCATTGTATAGTTGTCCAGAGTTGCCCATGAAGACATTATCACTTCCCCAAAGACGCATTTCAGCTTTAGGAGAAAYCAAAGCAGTGCACAGAACTGTCAATGATTCCTCTGCTTGCCTTTTACTTTCTAATTACAGAATCTATCTGTGTTAATGTAGCAACAAACTTCGGTGTGTGCAGTTGTGCTTCAAACTCAGAAGGCAACATCTCTTTATTACAGTATCCTTTGGGCAATTTTTAAATAAATGTGTATGTTGTAAACTTACATATATTTAATTACAATCAGGCAATTCTAATATAAAAGTTCCCTTCTTTATATTAATCATGTTTATGGAGAAATTTGATACAGTTCAGGTAGAGTTTGGGAGAGGAAAGGCTGGGTATTTTTTCCCAAATCTCTCAGATTGTTGGAGCAACTTGAGCTTGCTACGTGAATGAATTTTGCCTGTAAATTTTCTTTAAATCAACTCTGTCTTGTTAAAAACAGTGGAAAGCCTCCTGCTGAGGTGAATGGATTGAGATCCACAGGAGCTGCAAACAGGAGATTTGTGTACGCAGATCATGTGCTTTTCACCCAAATGGACACGGTCCTCAGCACTCATGGTGGCTTCTTTACTTACTGAAGGGCATTACTTGAGCAAATCTGGTGCCATTGAGGTGGGGAGGGATGATGGAGGTTTCATGCTGCCCAGTTTCGCTGCAAAATATGAAAGTCCTGTCTCATATCAAAATGAAATTAAAATCTGCCATGGATATGCAGCACTGAAGGCCTCCTCTTTCGTGACCAGTTCCTCTGCTGTGACTGCGGGCRGAATGCCATTCGTATTCGTGCTAGTGCAAGCAGGTCATAGAGGAGGGAAAGCAAAGGGAGTAGGAAGTTACAGGCAGTTACAGGCAGCAGAATTAACCTTGCTCTCTGTAGAAGCTTGTCCCTGTAGAGGCACCCGGGAGAAATGGGCCGGTTTGGCTGAGCCAGCCCAGGCAGATACGYGGTGGTGGTCCATCCATGCTGCCCCTCACATCTAACGCTGCTGCTGGACGCCCAAAGTGCTCGTGTTGCTTAACCAGATGTCAAACTCACCAATAAAGGTACTGGAGCTCTAAATCATCCCTCTTAGTCCCGTGTGGCCTTCATTAGCAATTCCCACTGTCTGCAATCAACACACCTCTATCCACACAGTTGTTTTCCCCCTCTTGCTCTTCAAACCCTGTGAAATCCCTCCAGGGACTGCAAGCTGTGATCCTGTTGCAAAGCCCACACTGTCTCCCCCTCGTGTTTCAAGTTTTGAATGCAAGAATCTCAATTTGTGATGCCTCACACAAGAGTCCTGCCCTTTTGGTTTCAGTTTGACTCATTGTCCCTGAGTTCTGGCCAATCTAAATCTCAGCTGCGTGCATCCCGTTTCCCATTTGACAATGGCATTTTTAGTGACCTTTTTGAATCTACTAAATAGAATCTGCAGTGAATATTGCTATTTCCTTCATTTATTAACATTGACAGAAGAGTTTTTCATGCAGTGTTTAATGTCATCTGAACCCAGGTGGTTTTTGGAAATGTGAAAGTGTGATAAAACAAGTATAAGGTGTGACATGCACAGGTCAGAATATCACATTCTTTGTAAATATGCAATTTGTGCTTCTTTCACTGAGAAGTGTGTTTTATGAATACTGCTTGGTGCTACGGTATTCATAGAATCATAGAATGCCCAAGGTTGGAAGGGACCTCAGAGGTCATCGAGTCCAACCCCCCTGCACACGCAGGGTCACCTAGAGCACGTGGCACAGGGCTGCATCCAAGCGGGTTTTAAAGATCTCCAGAGAAGGAGACTATTGCCAAAAGCTGCTGTGTGGAGGAGGGATGCTCTTTTTGCTGAGGCCTGGCTCCGGCAGATGACATAGGGGCAGTCATTAACTTCAACAGCTTTGGCCTGAGCAATGTGCTGGCTGAACCCTAGATTAAGTGGTTTGATCCAAAGACCTTTTTGAGGGTCTAGAGATCAGGAGAGCAGAAGATTTTCAAAGAACAAAGAAACTTAATCTCACTGTGAGGCCTTGCCAAGCTGAGCAGGAAGCTCCGGTTGAGAGAAAGGAGGCGGATGTGATTTTTGCACGTGAGTGTTTATTTGAGAGGGCTGGGAGCAAGGGTCTGATTTAAGTCTGCGGTTGCTGTCTGTATGAGGTGGCAGCATGAGTCGAGGGGAGCTATGACCTGCAAGATAAAAAATCCATGGGGGTTTCCAGCTCGAGAAGGGAAGTGAGGGAATACAGGGTGAATCTTCTAGTTATTGCATTGAGATCTGTGACCTGTGTGGTGCTGAATTATGGAGTCACATGAACGGGGATAGCAGAATGGCTGGGAAGAAGGGAGAGAAAAATCATCATTGTTTCTCTTGCTGTTGTCCAGGTTTGGCAGGAACCCTAGGGTGATCCAGTGCCCCAGGTGAGCACAGTCCCGGGACACGGGCCGCTGTTGCGGAGGTCTCTGGAACACACTCCCTTTTCCTGTATTTTATTTCTGGTGTCCAGCACACCACTAATAATACTAGTTAATTTGCTTTTGTCCAGGATGGAGGGGGTTCTGGATCTCTCCTTCACAGCCACAACTTTGGGTACTTACCCCTGATGTTGAGACAGGAGAGGGGGAAAGGGAGAGTGGTCGGTGTTTGCAGTGCATGTAAAATCTGACCTCCTTCAGAACAGCCTGCACCTGCATTCCCTGAAGAAGTAAGCAGAGCCCGTTGCTTCTTAGTTTTATTAATCCAGTTCAGTTAGGGGGAGGGAAGTGGGGRAAAAGGACTAAGGGACAGTGGAAGAACTGCTTAAGCTGGCTTAATTTATGGCACTGGAAGCACATGAAGAGACTCTGGGCCTAGAGGGTCAGTTGTAGAGGGTGGGTCTAGSCCTGCTGTACAAATTCAGGTTCCTCACTGCCTGCTGCCCTTGACTTCAGCCCAAACAAAAAGGAAAAAGCCTTAAGGCAGCCAGAGGCTAATAAATAAATAAATAAATAAAAATAAAGAGGGAACTTTTTGTTGGGGTTGYGGGTCAAGACCAAGTTTGGGTGATGAGAGAATAATTGATTTACCACATTTTATTATATTTATGTGTTATTGAAAACTGCATATGTTGTAATACTGGAAAAAGCAGAGTGCAAAGAGATTAAAAAGATCAGAACATACTTTTAAGAAGTCTGGGTTAGTCAAAACTGTCTATTTTAAAGTAACTAGTAGCCACTCTTTACTCAGGATCAGAGTGCAACTGCGGTGTGACTTACAGAAAGTGCTTCACGCGTCTTCCAGCAGCCCTCAAAGGCCTTGGAGCTGTAAAGACCGAACTGTACGGTTATTTTCAGCTCTTTCTTTTGTTGTTTGATCCCTTCAGGTTAGCAGTGTGGCCCAGRGCCTCAGGGATGCTGATGAGTGACCCACCAAGGGCAAATTGGGCAGGAATTCCRGCTCTGCGGCAGCATCCACAGCGAAACGTGCAGAGCTCTGTGCTGGAGTCCTTCACGCAGCAGCGTTCACTGCTCCCCGAGGTGCATGGCATGTTCTGRGCAGTATTAATAAAGCTTAACACCAGGAAGACCGGGATATAAAGCGAAATAATAACCCAAGTCTTTTGATAAGGGAAGCGTGATATCTAGTTATCTGAAGTGCTGTAGACTGGTACCTGTTTAGGGGCTGGTGTTATCTGAGGATTGAAGGATGGTGCAGGATTCCACCAAGAGACCCGTTAGGAGGCTGTGGTCATGTGAGGGGCTCAGCACAARTATTTTCAGTGCAAGTTTCAGATGGGACCTGGAAGAAGCAGCCCATGTGATGGGGAGGGAGGAGATGTTATGCAGCACATCGTGGTGCTCTGCAAAATCCCTGACCTGGTTCTATGCAAGCTCTCCCATGGGTGAGGGCAGTGTGGYGGTGTGACTCCATCCAGAGCTAGCAGGGAGCACGTGGCTAACTTCTCAGACCACGACACAACTCTGTGCCAGCTCGGCTCTTGGCTTCTCCTMTGAGATTGCCACCACCAGTAGCATCTTTCTCCTGTTTGCACTTGTCTGTTGGGCAGCAAAGGGAACCCAGACTTGTGTCACAGCTCCCTGTGCTGGAAGCTTTGCCTTTCTGGCTGACCTGGGCTGGAGACCATCATCAGCTTCCTTCTCWCTACTGAACAGAAGGACATGGCTCGGGGAGGCCCATGGCTGCTGCCCAGTGATGCCTGCAAGACAAAAATAGTCATCAGAAGCTTCAAATAGTGGTCTATAGATATGCATGCTGTTTGCTACAATAATAATGTGCCCTTGTCTTACAAAAATGACTTATTTCGTCCATTAGAAGGTTTCTGCTTCAAAAAACTTCTCAGAAATGCCATCCTAAGTCCCATTCAGTGTGAGCTAACTTTGTTTTTGTCACTGCTGTTAATGGCATAATCTGCCTAATAATATTACTGTCTAACAAACCCAGTGCAATCATACCCTCCTGTCTGATCACCAGTGAGTCACTGCTTTTCTCAGATAAAAGGAAACTTCTAAAGAATCCAGAAGCTTGTCACTAAAAGGGCTAGATTACCTCAACATAATGAATAACTAATTTGCTGGATCCTTCATGCATAGGTTTTATTTAAGTGACAGATAATTAAAAATGATTTTTAAATGCTAGGTTGAATATTAGCAGAAAGCTGAGGTAGAGCTCAGTGTCAGGAAGAATGTCCCTTTGAATAATCTATCATTTAGGCTATCTAAAACAAGCTAAAAACATGAATCAGTACAGTAGGTATAGAGTCTGCATTAGAAGGATACAGAGTGAGTTGAACTATTCTCTTCTTCAATTCAAATTCTCTTGCTAATTCAAACACAGTCTCTTCCCCTGATTTGGGAAGTGTTTTGGTTTATGTTGCACATCGCATGCCACGGTGACAGTTTCTCCAAGAGAAAGTGTGGCACTGTGAAAGCTGCTAACTTCTTTCTCTGTCTTTTCTAATTACCAATACCTGGCTTGAGTTATATGTTCAATGAATATATTTACTGTAAGGACTTTTAGCCAATGTCTTGGCTGTAGTATCCATTATTCTTCATAATTCTTAAGTTCTTAGCTGTGTGTATATATATGTGTGTGTGTGTATACACATACATGGTTGTGTGTGGGTGTGTATGCAAGTGAAACCTGTTATTTTCAACCTAGCCCATGCCAATGGTTCCTCTGCCTTTGCAAAAATACATAATCGCAATGTTGAAGGCCTTCCTTTATTCTTCTGATTATTAGCAGTACCTGTAGAAAACATGAGTTTGACCATCTTCCCCCTTGCTGGCCACGCATTTGCTTTGCATGATGCAGTTCATCTCTGTTGCAAGGCTGCTGTGCTGTCCGTTTGCTTCTCTTATAACGCTGTGTCTTACTGTTGTACCTTCACCTCTGYGTGCACCTGAGGCTGTTGCTCATACCTGTTTTATTACATGCAGGTCATGAATTGCACACCTGAGCACTTTCATGTGCTGATTTTTTTTTTTTTTTTATGTTAAATGACAGTCATCAGATGCTTCTCTACTTTG